CGGGGTAGGGGATTTGTCGTCTCCTTAATTCCGTGGTTATGCGCGGGATTGTCCAGGATCTAATTGATGCTGGACTAGCTAGCTCTCCTCCTTGTGTGGGAGTGACAGCTCTAGCCGGGGTGCTAGGCAGGGAGAAATCCTCTACCCCTTCCTGAGACATACTATAAATAAAACAATAATTAGTATATAGAACCACCAAATTGTACTGGCAGGCTAGCTAGGCCGGATGGCGAAAGTATTATACTTGTTTGGTGACAGGTGAGGCCCTGCTAATTGCCAAGCGGCTTGAGAGGCTCTATCTATGCGTTGGCGCGAGGGGTTATTGAGGCCACTTGACGTAGTGGCAGGAGTTTTAGGCCTCTCGGTGACTGTACGACAGAAAACAGGGGAAGGGAGTGACAGGTGAGGCCCTCTCTTTGCAACATGCGAGGCGGCTAGCTAACGTGTGGCCCGATGGGTGTTTGCCTCCGAAACGTTTGAGGCGGGGTGTTGGCCTCGCGGGACCACTAACTAATGGCGACAGCCAAGATGGGGTAAATACCTATTGGGAATCCTGTGACCCTATTGCCAGTACTCTAAACTAGGGGGATGAAATGAAATGTATGGTAGAATACCATATGAGCAGGTGTACGTACCTGATAGTATGATAAATCACAGGAATAAACCGTGTGGAGCAATTATATAAGCTTGACAGCCTAAAAATGGGTAAAAGAGCGTAGTATGATGAGTGTGGAGTGTAAAAAGAACCAGACTTAGTCTGTAGCAGCAATGTATAAAATTATGTTGATACCATGGGAATAGCTATTAGTGGCTCAGAAATGTTTGCATGCTTGAATAAGACATCTGAGGGAGGCCGTGGCCTATGTACAAACAATCTATGTGTTACGTGATAATGGTGTGTGAAGGAAAACATGAAACGTAGGTTATATACATATGTATATGACTGTGCAGGGGACGTATGATTGGTTGGATCAGTACGTGTGATTCAACCCGAGTATGCATGAAAAGGATTTAAGCCTTATGTGTCATCGTCATGACAGAGAAATGAGGCCTGTAATGTAGGCTGAGTGAATTGAAATGAAATGGATAGTTATAAAACTCCTGGCGTGGGAGTTCAATGATCTGTACCGAAATGTAACTGGTTTTATAGAAAGGGACATGGATGAGGTCATGGCCTAATTAATACAGCGTTATGTATGATATGTAGCAGAATAACCAAAGGCAGGGATACCCCAAAATGATTTAAAATGATGTAAAGTGATGTATATCTATATGATATGTTTGTATAGAAAAGACGTATCAACCCGAGAATTATTGCTTAAATGAACCTATATCCTTTGTATGTGTTGTATTAATAACCCAGAAGTGAGGCTTGTAACATAGGCTGAGTCCATTTGTATAAATGGATAAGTAATGCAGACCCCTGAAAGCGTGGGAGTCAAATGGTATATACAGAGAAGTGGACTTGATTTGTGGACGTAATACAATACTGACAATATTTTAAAAGTAATCAAAATAATCTATTTAAGCAAGCAATTCTTTAACCGAACGTTATATACACATGAAATGGTGAATATAATTCATGAAAGGATTATACGTGAACACACAGAAAAGCCGAAAGCAAATGTGAGGGGAACACAGAAGTTAGAATAGTTTAACCGTATGATTTATGCGAACCAAAAGCGTGTATGAGCGTATGTAAAAATTTGCCGAACGGCAAAACAACCGAATGATAATTCGTTTCAATAACATGAAATAGGATATGCGAAATGACTATTGAACGATTTAAATATGTTCAACCGAATGACCGTACGAATGAAAAGCCCGCGAATGGCTTGAAACATTCGTGTCATAACCAGGGAAAAAGCCGTAAAGCGAGGACCCGTGCTGTACCGTACGCCGTGGGAACCAGTCCTGGCGTGACAGGAAGGTCTGACTTACGGTTTAGGAGTCCCTGGGACGCAATCTACGACGGAGAAACGGAGTCAGAAGAAGCTGGATGGGCGGAAAGGCCTGAACAGGATTCCTGGACACAGCTTAACGTGGTGAAACCTCCTGGATACTGAAACCAAGATGGCGTCTGAGAGAACCCGGAAGTGGATCCTCATTCAACGCTGATCTCGAACGGTAAGGAGCCAGGCAAGGGGAGTGCCTTAAGTAGGCTAGGGGTAGCAAACCAGCACCTCCCACAAATGCAGGCAAATTGCCTTAATACATGTGAACAATTTGTGAAAATCACAAAGGAAGTACCGAACAAAAAAATTGCATAGCTAATGTAGGATAATACTTCAATCGACAATACCATCTCTTCTTCTTGCCTTTCTAGGACATTTGGAATTAGATAATTTTGGAGGTCATTCTTTAAGTTAGCCAAAAATTCTTCTTCTTACTCTGGTGTGTTAATTATGTGTTTTTTCTTTGATGGCGAAATAAAACCTTCACCCAAATCCCCCATCTGTACTTTATGCTTTACTTTCAGATGTCTAGTAAAGTCTTGAAATACCTACTTTTATACATAGTCGCAACTGAAAAATCTTGAAAAATTCTGATGTGTCTGCATTTCGCAAAGGGGAATTGTGGAGAATTTAACCTAACCCAAAATCCTCCACAATTCCCCTTTGCGAAATGCAAAACCTTTCTAGAAGGCTAGCATTTGCCCATATTCTAGATGCATGCCAGTGGTAAGGAAGCAGGAAAAAATGTTGCATCGGTGAAACTGAAAAAAATACCACTATATAATATAAACAAGTGGTATACTCTTGTAATGAAAAAAGGCTTCTTCCCTACCATCCCCCCACAAAAAGGAATAATTTATCATTATCTAATCTTTACTCCTTCCTTTCTTACTTTCTTAAATTTTTTTCACTCTTGTTCAACCTATATGTGGGTCACAACCATCCAAACCATTTCTTAGTTCTGGTAACTATTAGAGACAATTTTCTTCATCATTAAAGGACCACTATAAACTACCTGATTTAACAGCATTATTCTATAACTGACTACTCTGTGCCCCTCTGAACCCCACTTTTAACTTTTTAAACCTATTCTAAATTCTCTTCTCCGCTGTCCGCCAATGAATTTCCTTTCATAGGAAATCATTGCGGGCTAAAAGCGCATGCGCAGAAAGCGCAGCGCTCAACCAATGAAAAACTTCTCATTGAGATTCATTGACTACAATGAATCTCAATGGGAAGAAATTGTATGCACATGTGCGCGATGTGCGCATTCACGAGCGGCGAACTGAGTGACACTGTCCTCCCTTAGCCCACCTCCCATTCCTCTAGCCCCGGTGCTCTATCAGATTCAGATACCTTGTGAATCTGATAGAACACCGGCACTCAAACTCTCACTACCCAGCGGCAGTTAAGGGAACCAGAAGGAAAAGTAAATATAAAAAAAAAAAAATTACTTTTTTTTCACTGAAAAAACAAAAATACATTTCTATATATATATATATATATATATATATATATGAAAGTTTATCCATACTTACCGTAATATTCCTTTCCTGGTCATAGGCCATGGCAGCACAACAATGGGTTAGCTCCTCCCTATCCCTAATTAGACAGGAACAGAATTAAAATAGAGGAATAAATACCCACTCCCACCACCACTCCCTCAGTCTTGTTTAACAGCAATATCCCAGGGCGGGATCTTTGTGCTGCCATGGCCTATGACCAGGAAAGGAAAATTACGGTAAGTATGGATAAATTTTCATCTTTACTGGCCATTAGTGATGTCGCGAACACGAAATTTTCGGTTCGCGAATGGCGAACGCGAACTTCCGCAAATGTTTGCGAACCGGCAAACCGGGCGAACCGCCATAGACTTCAATGGGCAGGCGAATTGTAAAACACACAGGGACTCTTTCTGGCCACAATAGTGATGGAAAAGTTGTTTCAAGGGGACTAACACATAGACTGTGGCATACAGGAGGGGGATCCATGGCAAAACTCCCATGGAAAATTACACAGTTGATGCAGAGTCTGGTCTTAATCCATAAAGGGCATAAATCACCTAACATTCCTAAATCACAATGCATATGGATTGACACATGACATATGACATATTGACACCTTGACATATGGATTTACACCTGTCCTCAGAGACCCTGATACACACTGACACAGAGCAGAATAGGGACTGTTCCCCCTACATATGGTCACTTGGCAGATATGGATTGACACCTATCCTCAGGATCCCTGATACACTCTGACACAGAGCAGAATAGGGACTGTTCCCCCTACATAGGGTCACTTGGCAGATATGGATTGACACCTATCCTCAGGATCCCTGATACACACTGACCCAGAGCAGAATAGAGACTGTTCCCCCTACATAGGGTCACTTGGCAGATATGGATTGACACCCATCCTCAGGATCCCTGATACACACTGACACAGAGCAGAATAGGGACTGTTCCTCCTACATAGGGTCACTTGGCAAATATGGATTGACACCTGTCCTAAGGATCCCTGATACACACTGACACAGAGCAGAATAGGGACTGTTCCTCCTACATAGGGTCACTTGGCAGATATGGATTGACACCTGTCCTCAGAGCCCCTGATACACACTGACACAGAGCAGAATAGGGAATATTCACTAAATGCCAAACATTGTTATACAGGGGAATATTCAGTAAATAAGGATAAGGTGGGACCTACTGTCCTCCCCCCTGGTCCCCACCCCTGCACGGTGGGTGGGGGCCATAAATCTCAATGGGGGGGCCTACTGTCCTCCCGCCCGTCCCCACCCGAGAGCGGTGGCTGGGGGCCATAAAAATAATGAGGGGGGGGACCTACTGTATGATGTTGTATCGATCAGGTAGTGTAAGGGTTATGCCCGCTTCACAGTGACAGACCAAACTCCCTGTTTAACGCACCGCAAACAACCACAAACAGTCCATTTGCACAACCGCAAACTCCCCATTTGCACAAGGTTGGATACCAAACTAGCCATGTCCCGTTCCTTGTCCTCACTGATGTCATTGAAGGTCTCTTCCTCCACCCAGCCACGTACAACACCACGGGTCCCCGAAAGGTGACAACAAGCCCCCTGGGACGCCTGCTGTGTTTGGTCTTCCACCTCCTCAAAGCCACCTTCCTCCTCTGACTCCTCTTCTTCAAACTCCTCTCTCTGCGTTGCCTCTCTCTGCGTTATTATAAGGTGTGTAAAGTGGTATTATTCTTATCAGTTTAATCCCTGTTATGTGCCTTTTTTTTGGTTTGGTTTTTGAAACCACAGTGCAGCACCAGAGGCCCGAAAAATTAGGCATGTACACATGCCTGAAAAATTAGATATTGTTGCAGCCGCTGCTGTAGCAGCAGCCAGAAGAATTGATGTTTGTTTCCCAGGCAGAAAGTGCCCTAAAACAGTGTTCCCCAACCCCCGGGCCGCGGACCGGTACGTGGATCAAACGGTACCGGGCCGCCCGAGGAACTTTAATTTCACTGTGGCGGCCGAGGCGCAGAGCATTGTGCTCTCCCGAGCCGTCCATTGTGTGACAATAGCGAATGAAAATTCCCTATTGTTACACTGATCCTCATCCTGGGTCCTCCTGCTTCCTGATTGGCCGTAAGGCAAACCCCACGCCATTGGCCGAACTCAATCTGGGCCTTCAGGGGAAAATGACAACTGTTTTCAAGTTGTCAGACAAAGTAGCTGCATTTAAAGCCAAACTGGAGTTGTGGGGACAGCGCGTGAACAGAGGCATTTTGGACATGTTTCAGACATTAGCGGGGATTTTAGGCGAGACTGAGCTTGAACATTCATTCTGCCAGTTGGTGCACGATCACCTGTCTTTGCTTTTAAAAGAGTTTGTGCGCTACTTCCCAACCACAAAAGACCCACGAACTGGTAAGGAATGGATCCGCGACCCATTTGCCAACAAATCAGGCAAATCTAGCATGTCTATGCAAGAAGAAGAACAACTGCTGGAGATTGCAAATGACGGTGGCCTTAAAACTATGTTCGAGACAACAACTCTGCCGGTGTTCTGGATTAAAGTCATGGCGCAATACCCTGAGATTGCCACCACAGCACTTAAATCCTATTGCCATTTCCGAAAACCTATCTGTGTGAAGCGGGGTTTTCTGCAGTGACAGCAACCAAAACAAAACAGCGGAATAAACTGGACATAAGCAACACACTTCGGGTGTCATTGTCTCCTATTACCCCCAGATGGAACCGTCTCATTGCGAAGAAACAAGCTCAGGGTTCTCATTGATTTGGCATTCTAGTGAGTTAAATAAAATAAATCACTTTATATTCATTTTTTGGTGTAGCTGTATTTTATTTTGAAGGCATGTTTAAATACAATTAAATTAAAATTATTAAATCAAAACAAGCGGGCCACGTAAAAATTATCAAACGTTTACCGGTCCTCGGCGATAAAAAGGTTGGGGAGCACTGCCCTAAAACATTGTGGCTTGAACCCTAGTTGGTGGCGGATAAGTCACGCAAGTCAACTGGCCTTCAGAGCTAAAATACAGCAGCGTGTGGACCATTTTTAGCCCAAGGCAGCTCATCTCATCAGGCCTTTTTTAGTCGAATGTATCACCCACTGTCAGTCCCGTCGGGATCCATCCCTCATTCATCTTAATAAAGGTGAGGTAATCTAGACTTTTTTTGACCTAGGTGACTTCTCTTCTCAGTGACAATACCTCCTGCTGCACTGAAGGTCCTTTCTGACAGGACACTTGAAGCGGGGCAGGCCAGAAGTTCTATCACAAATTGGGATAGCTCAGGCCACAGGTCAAGCCTGCACACCCAGTAGTGAAGGGGTTCATCGCTCCTCAGAGTGTCGATATCTGCAGTTAAGGCGAGGTAGTCTGCTACCTGTCGGTCGAGTCGTTCTCTGAGGGTGGATCCCGACTGACTAGGTTTGTCACCTCCTCAAAAGGACGAATGAGCCTAAAGGCATTGCGCATGAGCGTCCAGTAATGTGGCAAAAAAATTCCCAGCTCCCCAGAGGCTGTCCTAGCACCCAGGTCATACAAATATTCATTAACGGCTTTTTCTTGTTGGAGCAGGCGGTCGAACATTAGGAGTGATGAATTCCAACGTGTCGGGCTGTTGCAAATCAAGCGCCTCACTGGCATGTTGTTTCGCCGCTGGATATCGGCAAAGTGCGTCATGGCCATTTAGGAACGCCTGAAATGGCCACACACCTTCCTGGCCTGCTTCAGGACGTCCCGTGTACTTATGCACAAAGCGTTGTACGATCAGATTACACACATGTGCCATGCACGGCACATGTGTCAACTTGCCCAACTTCAATGCCGCCAACAAATTTGTTCCGTTGTCACAAACCACTTTGCCGATCTCCAGTTGCTGTGCAGTCAGCCACTGTGGTGAAACCGGCCTTGCCACGTGTCCTTGGAGGGGGCTGCTTGTCCGCCTCTTGCCTTTGGACTATGGACCAGACTTTATGTGAATGTGTTAACCCAGATAGCTATGCCATGGAGCCCATTCATGTAGTTAAAGACTTCGGCTCCATGGCAATTGAACTGTGTGAACAGGATCTGAGCGCTATTCGGTAGTTTTGTGCGCTCAGATCCCAGCTATCTGGGGATATGTGAAATGTCTGTGTGGTATGTGTAAAAGGTGACTTTGTGTATTTTAAAGTGTTTTATGTCTTTTTGCAACCATATGCTCAATGGAGTCTGCCTCTTTCCCTGGATAATTGGATTACTTTCCCCCATTGTCTCCAGGATAGAGGGCTCTGTAAAACCTGTTTGAGCCAGATATCCATGTGCCAAAAGATACTTTTACTAACTTTTGAACCCCTGGTCGGATTCATGCCATTTTTTAATATGTTGTTCCCCTGAATGGATTGATTGTGAATATGTAATTTTATGTGAATGTGATGTATGGTTTTAAAGT